ACATGCCCAGAATTTTTCTCTTCTTTTCAATAAATTACTAATGACAAAGTAGCTTTCGATCATAGTTGAGAGTGACATTACAAGACATAGAGTTAAAAAAGAAACTTGAACTCGAGCAGCTGCAGCGTATCTAATCCCAACAACAGCCTCGGCCCTAGCAATTTCATCCCTTCCCGTCGATCAAGTTCGCGGCCGATCGATCGCGGCCAATTCCCTCCCCCCGGCAAAAATCCTGCCATTCCTTGAGGTCAGGATCGTTGCCGGTCCGAGGAGGCAGGAATTGGCCTGTCGCCGGTGTGTCGGTCTCGGGTCGAAGATAGTCGGCTACTCACCCGTATGCAGGCGGGTATGTTGTTGTACGTGGCTGAGCTGCTTGAACCTGCGGTCGCAGTAGCTGCATTTGTACGGTTTCTCGCCGGTGTGGACCCTGATGTGCTGTACGAGCTGGTGGTTGCTGGAGAATGACTTGAGGCATTGCTGGCACTGGTGCGGCTTTACCTCGTTGCCGGCGATCATGCCGCCCGGACCGACGCCGATCGGACCGAGAGCCGCCAGTCCGCCGGGCACACCGCCGCCGGGTCGAGCCGTCAGTGCACCCGCCGCGCCCAGCTCCCTCGCGTGCATCTGCATCGCGCTCTTGTGCATGAAGATCTGCGAGAAGAACTGCCGGGGTTAGTTGGTACGCTGAACTTTTGGCCGAGCAACGGAGGATGGCAAATCGACGGTAGACCCGACCGCCTAACCGGTCACCCCCGATCGCCATCTACTCCTGGAAGGTTCCCTTGGGGAATCCGCTGACGCGATCTACATATGCCCAAACTTTGATCATTCATTGTGTTTACCTTTCTTGGCTTTTAATTTTGAATCGATTGGCTCGTGCGGGGTTCGGAGGTGTTCTAAGTTTGAGATTCTGGAGGGTGGGACTTGGACACGCGGAATGCTGGGGTCGTTTCTTACAGTTGACGTGAAGTTGGGGTATTGGAGTTTGTTACGTTGAGAGTAGGCTAACTGTGGTTTGCTCTTCTTAGGGTGGAGGCAATGGAATTTTGAAGATTTTAAAGTTTTTCTTTAAGAACAAAGGACGTTGGAAGGGTTGTAGGTTGATCTTGATTGATACTTATAGAAATATTCTTTCTGCAGTAAAGGAATTTGAGAGTTTTGAAGTAAAGAAAGTTTGCAGCAGAAAAATTTGGATTTAATTTGATAATAGCAACGCATGGAACTGAACGGAATTTATCGTCTAACTAGGAATGCACGGAGACAGAATTCAAATTTTAATTACTGAATAGTGAGCTGGAATGGAAGAATATTAATTCTGAATGATTCTTAACCATCTGAACAGGACACAGGCAGTCGCCCCGGCTTCCCCTGTTTAGTCGTGGACGGTTCGAGCGATCCTCATAATTTCCTCATGCAATTATAAGATGACGAGAATCGAAAAGTACGCGCTCATAGACCGTAGCGGTATCGTTTGCCTTCTGAGTTATTCATAGGCGAACCCGTGGCCGCCTGTTGTGCACCGCGATAGTTTCGACTCGTTCCCCGACGCCATTCACTCCCTCGATTTCGCCTTCAGCTCCTGGCGCGATCCATTAATTAAAAGTTCACGCACGGTGACGCAATACGGCCGATACTTACGCGAACTTTGCGATACATCGTCGCGACGGTTTACCGAATCAACGGAATCATCCCTAAAAACGATTCACCGAACAATTACGAGACGACTAGATGCAACCCTCCTGAAGCACAGTTCATATCTTTTCACTCGAAAAATTCCAACCGAACTATTTGGATTCGAACTCTCTAGGATTTGATCGCTGAACTGTGACATTTATCGGTTTATAGTACAATAAACGCTTAAGCAAATTTTGTATTAGAAAGTTTAAGAAAATTTAACGAGATCTTTGTTCTGTTTAAAGCCTACTAGAACCAGTAATAAGGTAAATAAATGCAATGAATTGCCGCTCGTAATGATTCTACAAAAATCAACATACACATAAAACCTCATACTCTACCGATCACGCAGGATACCCAAATTCCAAATCTCGATCCCATCCTTTCCCAAATTCTTCATTCAATTAATAAAAACGTGATCTCACGGGACACTTGGTTGTACCCCACTCAAACCCACATTCCCATACTTTGACGCAAAAATTCGCGCAAGAAAGGCATTCAGGCCGAAACTCCCAAGAACACAGAGCGCCACACCTCACATCGTCCGTTGCCAGCTGATTTATAGACGATTCTCGACGAATTTCATAGGAAGCGTATAACAGCTGTCCGCGAAAGGGGTCAATGTCCCTCCTCGCGATGCTTTTCGAAAGCAGCCATCCGATCGATGTTTTTCGGATCGTACGAGCACGGGTGTGCGGTACCTACTTACGCGTACGTAACAACAGCCGCGCGTCACACATCACAGAAGTTGCTGGACGTGGCCAGGTATCTGCCTACATACGTGTGGCTATACCCGGACGCGATCAGGAGGAACGCGAAACTGCTGTGAAGGGAGCATGGGGGCAGCGCGGGCGGGTGGAACGGCCGAGGAACGCTTGATTTCGGGTTCCCGTTCAGGGGAACAGGTGTTGCTCCCGTTGATGGTGTGGGTGTAGGTGAACGAACGAAAGGGTTAACGTTTAAAACGACCGTACGGTTCGCGGCGAAAGTGGGAGAGAGGAGCCAGGAACAGCGGGGACAAGGGAGAATCAGGCTAACGGGAGAGAAGTTCGCCGGAATTAAAGAAGGGAACGCGAGAGGCCGTTCCTCGAGTCCGGGCTGAGGTGGAACGAAGGGACAGAGAAGAAGGTCTGCGGAGGATTTTATTAAAATATGTTAAAACTGTAATTAAAATCGAAAAATCTCGCAAGAAGTTTTAAGAATCTTAGCCTGCCACCCTTCCCGCGACAAAGATGAGGACACCTCCTGAACGACTGCGACTACGACGACGACAGCGGAGAAGGCGCCGGGAGAGAGAAAGAGAGAGAGAGAGAATTGAAATTGTCACCGGGGGTTCTCAAGTTTCTACGACTTTCAACCCTTTCTTTCCGGGAGGACGCGACGCGTCGGTGGATATTTGACGAGCGACCTTCGACACTGCGCATCCCTGATTCTTAATCCTCGTGGGAGAGGGAGAGGCTGCGACTCGATTTTATTCCTCGTTTTTTCCCGACCGGCCGGATTCTTCTTTTGCCCCGGAGACGAATCAATCCGAGTTGTGTCCCTCCTCGTCGATTTGAATAAAATTTTACCCGTGAGTTCTTGAGCCACTCGGATAAGCAGGTTTCTTTTATTCAGACAGAATATCGCGATTTTATTAATGGACCTGATTCGTTTCTCCCCGATCGTTTTCTAATGGAATTTCGCCCGACTCCGAGGAACCTAACCACCCTTTCGTTTTCTTCGCGACGCGACAACGCTCCAGCGACGACCTGCCGTAGCCAAGGGCCGTTAAGGGGTGGGGGAAGCGACTCGATGGCGACAAAGTCGAGTTGCGAATTTTTAACGACCGTCTCGAGTGGACGTCGAGATTTTTTCGGGGAAAGTTCCGGCCGGTGGCCATCGCCGTCCCGAAGAAACCTCGGCCGGGAGACATTTGTTTCCGGCGTGATTTTTGAGCGAATACTAATTAAGTCGACCCACAAAGTCAGCCTTTTTTCTCTCTCTACCCCGGTTTTTCTCGAACTCAAACACCATACGTCCATTAATCAAATTTTTATCTCCCGGCAGATGGAAAATTGCGTCCCGCCGCCGGGCCA